TGAGTAGTTCCATCAATCTTCATCAGGTCAGTAAACCTGGCCATTGTTGTGATTTTTAATTTTGGTTTTAATTTATCTCCCCTTCTATCCAGGACCTTTTGGTAGGATCCCTTCTAGGCCATTACTAGCCAGGCACCATCTAGTTCTCTGGTCTCAGGACGGTGGAAGCTGAAGATCCCAATGTCCACTGGTGTAATGGACACATTGTTTCCATGCATCTTTGATTTTCTTTACTCTTCCTTGCTTCAGACAGGGAGAGACCAATGGCTGCATCTTAGGTGGCCTCTCTGTAAGCTATTAAGTCCTCAGTGGCTACTCTCTAATGTGAAGTAACATTATCTTTGTGGACTAGGCTATACCAAGTGACAATGGTGTCCTGAGACCCCATGACCAATGAACGATCAATTCCCTCAGGGTGTCTGGTTCTAGTTCAAAGGTTTACATAATATTGTCCACTGCTGGCTCTTCTTTTGGCCTACTGGTGAGAGAAGCTGAGCTGCAATCCGAAAGACACATGGTTTAAATCCATCTACACACATGTATTTGCAATACTCATGTTGAACTATCATCTTCCAAATCTATCCATGGTCATAGGTGTAGGCCTTTTCACTTATTCATATCTTATCTATCTCTGTATGTATTCACTTAATTTTTTACCAAAATCCAAGATAAGCAACAAAAACTATTCTGCTATTAACTCATGCTCAAAATTCTACCAAAATTGAAGACCTCTAGCTTTCAGGCTTTCCCAAAAACTAATTTAAGGTCGGTGCCGGTGCCTCCTTTGAAGGATCAATATAAAGTATTATTGCCCTCAAGCTACCTTAACTGTTCAACATTAAAGAAGATGGGGAGTCCATTTTTGGTATCAGTACTAATACTAGTCAGGTTCTTTCCTTACACCTCTCTGTTGTATTTGCTTCCACAGCACACTTGAAGCAAGGCAGACCCCAAACGATGGGTCCAAGTGAGGAAATGTTCCTGCCCCAAAGTTAAAAACCAAAATCATTGTCAGTGGGTTCTAACTAATATCAACCACATGGGACAGAGTAGAACTGCTCCATAGGGTTTCGGGAGTTGTAAGTTTTTATGGGAGCAGATTGCTTCATCTTTCTGCCTTGGGGCAGCTGGTGGGTGCGAATCGCCAACCTTTAGATTAGCAGCCCAACTTCCACACACTGCACCACCAGGGCTCCTGGTTTCTGCCCCACTCCTTTCTGAAATCACTTTACTCATAGTCTAGTCAAGCCCAGCTTCACCTGATTTAAGCCTCCATCACTTAGAATACTCTTGTAGAGGAAACAACCTATCAGATTATGTCAAATAATTTCTTTGAGCTCAACTTCATAGAAACCCTATGCTAAACAGAAATCAAAGCTCTTGAGGAAGCTGGTTATTGGAGGCTACAAGATTCAAGGCTCCAACATTTCACTCCCCTTCTCTTCTGGTTTTAAAAAGGGTCCTAGAACTTGAGAGTCAGAAACTTCTTTTTTTTTCATTTTCTTTTTTTAAAATTTTTTCATTTTATTTTATTTTTTTTAATAATTTTAATGAACATTTACAGAGAATTTGGGTTTCCATTCATTCATTGCTGCACTTCTCTGCCCACCAGCCCTCCCCCCACTCCCCAGTTCGCTCCTCTCTTTCAAAAGTAAAAGAAAGACTCCCTCCCTGGTACACAGTCCCCCCACACCCCTCCCACCGCCCCAAGTACATTCCACTATGCAACCTTAATTGTGGACTCTTGTGATAACCATAATACCCTATCATACATTGCTTTTAAATTATTCAGTCCCTCATCTGTTTCAGTGCAGTATACACAATTTATCCAGTTTTTCTCAGTCTTACCCCCACCCTGATATCAGTCCCATTTTACAGCAGTGGCACCATGCAATATTTGTTCTTTTGTGACTGAGATATTTCACTCAGCATAATGTCCTCCAGCCCCACCCATTTTGAATAATATTGCATGAGTTCCTTGTTTTTCAATGCAGCATAGTATTCCATTGTGTGAATATACCACAGCTTCTCTAACCATTCGTTTGTTGATGGGCACCTGGGTTGTTTCCAACTCCTTGCTATTGTGAACAGAGCTGCGATAAACATGGGTGTGCATATATCTGCTTGGATGTCAGTTATGGTCTCTATGGGGTATATTCCCAGTAGTGGAATTGCTGGGTCAAATGGTTATCTCTATTTGCAACTTTTTGAGAAAGTGCCATACCACCTTCCACAGTGGTTGCACCATTTTACATTCCCACCAACAGTGAATAAGGGTTCTAGTTTCTCCACAACCTCGCCAGCATTTGTTGCTTGCTGTTCTGTTAAATTTTGCTATTCTGACTGGGGTGAGATGATATCTCATAGTTGTTTTGAAAGAAACTTCTATTCATGTTGCAGCTGGCCACTCTTGTGCTAAAACCTAAGTGGTGAAGCTATAGCATTTAATTTCATCTGTAAAATGGACTGTCCTTCATAAGGTTGTCAGGACTCACGCCAATGCCTGGTAGGTATCTTTTAAATACAAGTCCTGGGCATATACCTACAACCCTCAAAGAAGCTATGCTATCATTTCTCCACTTTTAAGACCTTCCTTCTTCATACATTTATAAAGACTAGACACAGGCCACATCAGAGTGTGACCTCCGGCAGGTCTGGGCTACAGGGTTTGTGAAGTCCCATCTCTAAGATTAAGGGCTCAGTTATTTAATATTTACCTAACTGGCTTCAAGGGAATGTTAGGAGGATAAAGCAAGCTCAAAGACGTAGAAGGGCTTTGAAGAGGAAGATGCACATACAAACAAGGTATTAATTATATCAGATAATTTCTTTGAGCTCAACTTCATAGACAACACGTGATATTCATAACCCAGGGGCAAACAACAGGGGCAATTGTTCCTTGGCAGTATGGAAAATGGTTGTCTCTGCTTGGCCAAACTTGAGAATTTGTATGTACCCTCAGGATACTTCTTTCAACACTGGAGCTAGGCTGTGGCTGCTGTGTCTAGAAGGGGAGCTGGGGAAGGAAGAATGAATGTAGGGAGATGTGAGAAACAGAGGATTAGGGGAAGAAATATCAATGTTTTTTGTCTTGTTACTGGTAATTCCTGATTTATATGGAACCAATAAGGATTAGAAATTTACTAGGACAGCTGGCAACCCATTTCGCAGGAGGCTTTTTCTAGGAGCCAGTCATGGGGTAAGGGAGACTTTAGGTGAGCAGGCCCATGAACTCACTCTTTGTTTTATAATCCAGGTGTGCTCCTGGCATGGACACACAATTCTCACAAGCATAAACCAGACACCGGAGAACACCAAATTTCCTCAAAAAAGGTTTAAAACGCCTGACGTAACCAGGAAGCTCTCCGCAGCTCGAGCGTGAAATCGAAAACCTGATCACCGCTTTCCTCCAACAACCTCAAGCCTAGTGAAGTGACAACTTATCTGATATTTCTTGCTTCAGTAAGAAAGATAAGGCAGACAACAGTCAAAGCCAGAGTCAGAGAACTTGACAATGGGGTGGAGGGTAGGAGGTAGGGGGTGTAGCTTTGGCCCAGATCTGGTTAGCAATAAAGCTTTCTCAGGAAGCCGGAATTGGATTTGCAGCCCTGCCCAAGTTCACATTTTTACAGGTTGGCTGAGTTGCAGTTTGTTAGCCGGCCAGTAATAAGGCCATGCACAAGAATTTAAAGTTTATGAGGCATGGCCTCTCCTTAGCTCCCTCCAGCTGAGGGCTTAAGAAGCTGGCCCAGTCAGGGTGTTAATTGTTTTGTCAATCTGGAGGGGTTATTTGGAGAAAGAGAAGAGAAGGAGGCTCCCACAGGCTCAAAAACTCTCAATCTCTTTTGGAAAGCCATTTGGTCCCCTCATTACAAAGCACTCCACTTTCTAGTGCAGCAGAGGGAACTGGCACCTTGGGAGATGGTATGCTGGTAGTGACGCGTATGATGGTTACAGAAATGGCATCGGTTCTTAATTGCTTTGAAAGCCAGGTAAATTGTGTACTCCCTCCCCAGAAAAATGTGCCTGAAATGGTTCAGAATTTGAGGATTCAATCGAACCACACCCAAGGAAACAGGTTAAGGAGTCATAGTTCAGAATTTGGGTTTGATCCTGCAGAGGAACACTCCCTCTTTTCCCTCCTTCCCTGGAGAAAGAAGGAACCCTCAACAGTCTCTAGCTGCCTGAGTTTCTTAATACAAAGATTCTCTGCAACAAGAGACCCCCACGCTCAAGTTTTTGAACTCTGTGTGTCCGGGTGTAGGGCGCAGCTAATAACTGGAAGATCAAAACAGTGCTTTGATCTCCCCTCGACTCCTGGAGTCCCAAGACCTCCGGCTTGGGGCACCCCTGAGGTTACTAAGTGACCTAACATCCCTGTTCCAAGACCCTGGGGATGCGAGTGTTCCTCGTGCGTGACGGCCCCAGCCCAGGTGTGCCAAGGCCAGATCCCAGGCTGGCTGCAGGGGCGCAAGCCCTCCGGGAAGAGCAGGGTTAAGAGTGCATTCCAGCTGCCCGGGAAAGAGGGGAGGAGGAGGGGAGCGAGAAGAGAAACAGACCCCGTCTGTCTGTCGGAGTCACAAAGCACGGTTCACAAAGGGGGCCCGAGAGGGGCGAAGGGGGGCTGCTCAGAAGCGCAGCTCATCCCCACACCTGCGCGGGGGTGGGGAAGGAATGTGGACGGCGCATTCCTCCGCTGAGGCCGGCCAGGGGGGCTTCCCGGGGTGAGGGGAACGGTCGCCCCCCACCGGGATGGAGGGGGTCAAGGTAAACAGCGGCTTGCAGGGCCGGGAGGGGACTGGACGGCAGGGGTCGCTGTGCAATCCCGCCTTCGGTGCCAGCCTCCGGGTCACCCACATTGCTGCCCCCACGGCGCGTTCTACCAGAACCCCCCACCACCCCCAGCTCAGCCTGGACGCCCTTAGTGCAGACCACACCGAAGCGGACCACGTGCGACCCCCAGCCCGCTGGGCCCTCGGGCGGCCTCCGGAGGGTCTTACCTTTCCCCAGCGCCTGGCCGGGCTCCAGCTCCGCGCCTCCCGCTTCCAAGGTCACTTCAGCCTCCCCGAAGCCCGCCCGACACCGCTCGGAGGCCGCGCAGCGCGGCCAGCGGACCTGCACCCGAGGGGAGAGCGTAAAAGAAGGGCTGGGTCACCGGCGTCCTGCACACCCCACCCCGGAGAGTCCCAACGGGGTCTCCCGAAGCCGAGCCCCGCGCTCTGCCCGACGCCAGCGCCGTGGGCGCGCACCCCGTCCGTCCTCCAGGGAATTGTCCCGGCCGGGGCAAGGGCAGGGCGGTGGAGTACCTGCAGGAGGATGACGGCCAAGACGAGGGACGCAAGAGGCGCCCTAGGGATCCCCATGGCGCGCGAGAGAGGTGACAAGGATGCTGCAACCCCAGACGCGTGCGCTCGTTGGCTCTTCGGGTTCCTCTGGGCAGCGCCGCTCGTCTAAGCCAGGGGGAGGAGGCCAGGTGAGCGCAGGTAGGTGCTGATTGGCCCAGCTCCGCGAAGCCCCGCCCCCTCGCAGGTGGGGCCGCGGCCAGCAGGTCCCGGCGCCCTAAGAGGCCCTCTTGTTCTCCCTGGAGCCCTCCTGCGTTCTTCCTGATTTCCTGGAGCTGCTCGCCGCAGGACCCAGCCGACGTGTGGGTTCTGAGTTCGAGAAACAAAATCCACACCGCTACCTTCTTAGCGCGGGAAGAGAAAAAAATTTTTTTTCGCCTTAGGGCTACAAGGGGAGACGCATCTAACGCAAGCTGGAAACCAAGGCGCACATTTCGAGCTCCAGGGGTGTTCTCAGTTAGTGGTAGCTCTAATGGAGACCAAGGTGTCCTCTTCCTTACAGGCCACCGCGGAGGCTGCCTTCTGCCTCTTTGTCCACTCCCAATGCAGAGCTGTCCCGGGTGCCCCAAGATTTAAAACACGCAGAGAGTTTGCCAAAGATTCTACACTCCCATTTCACAGCTGAGCAAATAGGGGCTGAGACATAAATGACTTGCACTAAGACTCAGAAACTGATGGTGCCAAAGGGCAAAGGGGGTGGTTGTTGTGTGCTGACGAGTGGGAACCGACCCATACCTGACCTTCCGCGAAGCAGGTGGTGGATTTGAACCGCGCTTGCTGAAACTGAGGAGGACCTGAAGCACTTGCTGCAGAAGGTCAAGGACTGCAGCCTTCAATATGGATTGAAGCTCATCAAGAAGACAAAGCTTCTCACCACTGGGCCGACTGGCAGCATCATGATAGATGATGAAGAGATTGAGATTGTTGACAGTTTCAGCTTGCTTGGCTCCACAATCAACACTTTTGGTACTTGCAGCCAGGAAATTAAAAGACGAATTGCATTGGGAAAGTCTGCTGTCAGAGACCTCTCCAAAGTACTGAAGAGCAACAATATCAGTCTGGAGACTAAGGTGCACCTGATACAGGCTATGGTCTTTGTAATTACTTGCTATGCATCAGAGAGCTGGACAAGGACTAGGGATGATAGAAAGAGAGTTGATGCCTTTGAGCTGTGGTGTTGGAGTACTGAATATACCATGGATTGCTAGGTGATCAAACAAGTTCGTCCTGGAGAGGGTGAAGCCAGGCTGCTCTTTGGAGGCAAGGATTCTGAAACTTCATCTGACATACTTTGGACATGTTGCAAGGAGGCACCAGTCCTTGGAGAGGGAAGGTGGAGGGACAGCGCAGGAAAGGAAGACCCTCGATGAGATGGATTGATTCTGTCACTGGGGTAATGGGTATAGGCATGTCGGATACAGTAAGATTGACAAGGGATAGAGCAGGGTTTAGAGCTGTTGTATATAGTCGCAGGCGACTCATAACAACCACAACCTTTAAGTTGCCAATAGGACTGCTTACCATCAGGCTACCTAGAAGGATGGTTCTTAGCTCCATAATCTCTAGCACCCCCACTCTCCCCAACCCATGTTTTTGGTTTATTTTGGTGTTTTTTCCCCTATTTAGTATAAAGTGTAAGTAAAGGCGCTTTGTAAAATGGTTGTTTTCCTACATCTGAAATACCACACTAACTGTGCAAAGCAACCTTCCCAGGATTCTCCAAAAACACCTCTACTACACTTTCCCTGTACGATAAGAGGCAGAGAAACCTTGGTCCTCTAGTGCTTTTGTCTAAAACATATCTAAAGCTCCATCACTTTATGCCGCAAACCCTTTCCCACTGAAGCGGGTTTTTTCCGGGCCAGCAACACCCTCTTCTTCCTTAAACTCCACCTTCCCCACACAGCTGCTCTGAGAACCCCGACTGATCCCCCACCCCCAACGCAGATTGAAGGGTTAGCAGAGGCGCCTGGAGTTTCTAATTATAGATTCCTTGGCCCACCAGGTCTAACCTGGTGACCCGCCCATCCTTCCCATAAAGAGACCTGTGGTTAAGCGGGCGGGCGAACAGCTGCATAGCAACCAGCCGCCAGGGAGTCCTTTCTTGGCTGAGCATCGACTGTGCGGCCTGACCTGCTGGGTTCAAAGCTAGGTTCCACCAGTTAACTGGCACTGTGACTCCAGGCAAGGGGTATAACCCCTCTGGGCCTCGGATTTGCATTTGCCAAATGAGGTTGTTAAATGACACCTACCTTCCAAAATGTCAAGGGATTCCGGACCCACGGTGAGTGCAAAATGAAACTACTCCCTAGGGATTTCAAGGCTGTGACCTTGAATGGGTCCTAACCACCTGAAGACGAGCTCAAACCACCACCCCTTTCGACTAGTCCAGCGTTTTCGACTGTTTGCGCTGCATGGGGACTGCCCACTCCCAAAGTACTAGGATTAGATTAGTTAACACCTATAATCGTGGATTAAATAAATTAACACGTTCCAAACGCTAAACTCAGTACCTGGCACACGGCTGGTACCTAAACATTGGTTAATATTGCTGCTCTAGGATCCCTCTCATTTGGCCTCCAGAGCCTTTACTTTTTTGTAGCACTCCTCCACTTCGCTCCCCAACTTCAATAACTAGGAAACGCTTGTAATCCTTCAATTTCACGGCTGAAGGTAAAAGAGAGCAATTGGCATCTGGCATCACGGGAGCTCTCCGACATCCCGCCTGCCGTCCCAGTGGCTGAGGGTGGAGGGTGGACAGAGCTCACGCGTAAACCCACCGAGCCCCGCGCTTTCCCTGCCTCGCGCTCCTGCTGGGGGCGCGGTCCCGGCCTGGGGGCCGTTAAGTGGCCGCGCGGGGACAAGGCGCGGCACAGGCCCCAGCCTGGACCCGGGGCTGTGGCCTCTCCTCGCCTGGCAGGTTCCCCTGCGCCCGCCCGGAGCCAGATGAAGCCATTAGGCGGACAGTTAAACACAAATGAGCCTCGAGATGCAGGCCCTAATTAAGTAAACACCCGGCTGGAGGGTCGTTGAGCGCGCTCATTTCCGCCGCCTTCCCTAGCTCTCAGCAGTGAGCGCGGTGGAGAGGAGAGAAAATGAGAGTCAGCTCTTTAGCCCGCGCCTTGTACCTCACCTCCGTGGATCATTCATTCACTCACTCTCTTTAGCTTGCTATGCGCCGAGAACATTCTGAGCAGTGAATATTATACCGTGAAAAAAAGGATAGATATCTCTGCGCCCTGGGACCTTCCATTCTAGGGGACTGGGTAGAGGAAAAGAACAAAATTACCCGCACGCTCGCCCCTCTAAATCTGGAGGTTCCGCATCTGCAGATTCAGCCACTTGCATATAGAAAATAAGAGGTGAGGTGGCAAATTAAGTGATTGAAACAATCCCTACAAGGCTAAGACGGAGCTAAAGTTTTGTATGCAGTGCATTAGGTATTAAAAGTAACCTGGAGATGATTTCCAGGGAGTTCTGGAGCCTGGTGGTAAGAAGCTGCACTACAATCCCGAAGGCATGCTATTCCAATCCACCAGTTGCTCTGTAGGAGAGAGATGGACTCTCTCCTCCCGTGTGATTGATTTAAGTGACTCTGAAAACCCCCCTGGAGGGTCAGCTATAGGTCAGTTCCTTCTCGATAGAACACAACAACAGCAACAGAGCTGTTTCCAGTACAAGGGAGGATGTGCCTGAGTTATATGCAAACATCACATCATTTTGTATAAGGCATCATCAGATTTTGTTATCTGCATGGGGCAGCAGTAGTGTTTTAGAGGATGATACTGGGGAGGAGGAGGAGGAGGAGTATGTTAGGGGGTGACAGTGTAAAAGATGGACAGAATGGGCAGTGGGGATTTGGGGAACATAGGGTGAAGTTGGAAGCTAAATATGGTGATCAAGAATATTTCAATCAGGATGTAACAGGACACTGAATCCAATGGTTCATGTTCAAACCTTGGATGAAGGGACAAGAGGCACCAACAGGGTTCACGAACTAACAGGGCTGTTGAGGCACCAGACACCAGGAACAGCAGTAAGACCGAAGGGCAGAAGGAGGTCATTATGGTATTGGAAGAGGGTGGCAGAAGAAGTGCAGGACCACCCTTCTCAAGTGCAGCTGTGGTCCAAGGTGGAAAAGCTGAGTAGAACTAGGAGAGCACCAGAAAAGATGTCTGCAAATCTCTCTTTCCTCCCTCTTGTTCAGACCCAATCAGAAGCCCAGATAATGGTGGAGTTAACAGGTGGAGGTGGAGTCAACAGAGAAGCTCACAGGTTTGCACAGACTGGAAGGAAGTGAAGAGCAAATTATGACTAAGGATGCCTGAATAAAAAGGATTCCAGGAAGAGTAAACTACTCTGCTAAAGGTCTCTTGATAGATCGCAGATTACTTGGGAAAGGTGCCAGAAAGGGGGATATGTGTAAGTGGAATAGGGGAAGCAAGTATGAAATGAGTCAGAGAGTTGTGGAGCAAGTCTCCTAGATTCTAGGCTGTTGTAAAGACATTGGCTTTTTCCCGGAGTGGGAGAGGAGGTGTTGAGCACAGCAGAGATGAGACCAGTGTGGGGTTTAGACAGAGTCCGGAGGTCCATTGGATTAGATGGCAATTATCCAGGCAAAGGGTGAAGATGTCTCAGTTTAGAATGTTCATTACAAGGGTGCTGAGAAGACCAGATTCGGGAGCTGTTATGGAGGTCTGGCCCTCCAATTGGCTTAAGGACTGGATGCTCAATGTGAGAGGAGATTGGAGGATGCCTTCCTGTCCTCACTTCCTGACTTCCTTATCCTCGGACTTCTGTTGGGTTAAGACAATGGGAAGCACCACTAGGAGATGAAGGACTAGAGGACAGAGGACAGATGCTAGGACTTTACCCCTGTGCTTTCCTCCCTCTGCTCCAGCCAGTGGCCATGTTCCTCCTTCAATCATGGCTGTACTCTTGAGCATTGGTCCTCCAGCAACAATAAACAAGAAAGACAGAAGAATTGAGGCCGATGAGCCGTGATGTCATTAAAGAGTATC